TTCTCGAGGCATTGACATGAAACCTTTCAAAAAGCCTTCTGTGACGACCCTGGGGGGATTTAACTCATTTTTGAGGTGCACAAAATAGGAGCGTGCACATCGTAAATCATCATCATGATAGATTGAATAGATATGTATGTAGAATATGATAGCCAAACTCGCGTTAGCAACGCACTTCGAGAATGGTTCAAGGGTTAGATTGGTCTCGGGGGTCTCGGAAAATTTCACGCAGAGAAGCTTGGGACCCTGTGACAATAATTCGATGACAACACAACCCATGTGACAAAAGTACTTCACTTCGTGTTGGCTCCATCGTTGTCGCTGGACTGTTTCGAACGTTTTGGACTTACCATTTTTGAAATGGAGGTATATTAGGACATTGACGGCAGCCCATTGTTCATGCTCCTCGGCATATTTTTTTTTGATATTTTTCCAAAACTATCACTACGCTTTCAGTAATTTCTTACTGGTAATAGGTATGATATTTTCCAAACCCAACAATGTCGGCGGACAACTTTCTAACATAAAAATATATAAAACCAATTGAAAGAAAGCTACTCATTAATGCGAAATCTGCACCGCGCGTCATGCTGCCATCGCAATTGGCTAATCAACTGCGGGCACCCCGTTTGCCGTATGTGCTCCGTGGTGTCTTTAGTACTATGAAACGTATTGAACTCAAAATTTGAAGTGAGGCAAGAAAATACTTACTTTGTAAATTTTTGTATAACATCTCCTATTTACTAATACCACTCAAAGAAAGCCTGGCGTGGATGTCGCGGTCACGATCGCTGCTGCCGTTTTGCCTCAAGACTCCCCTCTGCTCCTAGCTCCTGCATCGCTGGCAGCAGTGGATCTCCAGAAATAACTGTTATAAGTAGGTCCTACTGTTCCTTCGAACCAACTGGCGAAATTTTGTGTTCGGTGCGGGGAGACGCTGGAAAACCGTGCCGCGAAAGATTTGGTGGCAAGGGGAGAACAATGCTTTTGATTGATCATTCATCGCGCTCATCTGCGAAGTTCTGTCTGCATGTTCGTGGTCCGCCCGCTGAATATGAGAAGTCCGTGACAAAATAGTGTTCTTTCGTCATTTTAATCCCTAGGACGTTTTATCATGGCAATCGTCAGCTATTGATTCCCCTATTGGTAGCAGCCATTGTTTTTAGTGCAGGCTCATACGCGGTCAATTAGGGGCATGGCTCTTTTTCTACCGGTACGCTGCCCTACGCTCTGTTTCCGTTCTGTTGTACGCTTCACTCTTTGGTGTGTCAGAATCTCTAGATTTTTGGTTATCGAGTGGCATTCGTTTTTTCTTCCAAAGAACATTCTCGTCGTTGAATTCATGTCTCGTTACCCAGTCCAGGTCCGTTCGCAGAGGAAATGTCTGTTGGCCACGTGAGCTTACTCCTGCTTGAAGTAGATGCCTCTTTCGTTTTCTACAATATTGCCGACGTCTGACCACAGCGTGTTTCTTTTCTGTGGTCGCTAACTGTTTCTAATAGTTACTTCAAGAAGTGGCGCCTTAAGGAAGAATGAACGACACCTTCTCTTAGTTCTTCTCTACTCCTACTCACCTTTTTCTCATTCACTATAAAATGATCCATTGGTCAGCTCCCCCATTTAAAATGAGATATGTGCTTACTTACACAAATATCTCGAGACGATGAGTTCAAATCTGCTTTTGAAGTTCCAATCTGCTTTCAAATATTATCTGTATTTCCTGAAAGGAGCTATGTATAGCTCACTGGAGTTGATCTCTCACGAACTCCTGCCTATGAGTCAAAGATCAACTACCGCTTACTCTTCATTGCTTCATAACTTTCAGAAAATCGATATGGAGGTAGCGAGAGCAAATTCAAACTCAGCCTCTCAAAGCACGTATATAGAGATGAGAGATGTATTTCATTCTACATGACAGACCGACCTATTAAACTTCTATGATATGATTGGACTTCTTACACGAATCACAGCTATAATTTAATTTTCAATTTTTTAAATTCAATTTTCTTCTTGACTTCGGTTGAGTTCTTCTATTTTTTTACCTGTCCTAGTTTCCCACTGTGTTGGTGTACTGATTGAGTGTAGAAACAAATAAATGAATGAATAAATGAAAAAATACCTTCCGAAACACTCGTTTCAATTCCTTTTGTGTCCATAGACATACTCACTTGAGCAGCTCACTCCTTTGAAGGGCAAAGTTGGGCTGAACACCGGAAAAGAAAACTCGTTTCAGCCGAAGTTTGGCACAATTACCCTGTATGGGCAAAACAAAACGGAAACACAACAGAAAAAAAAAATGCAAACAAAGCAGGACATTGCACCGGTCCAAACTAGGTTGTCAGTGCTGAACAACCTCTTCTACTCTTAATTAAGCGCAGTTCTTAGTCAGGGACCTGATACTGGTTCCAAATTGTCTGAATTGAAGGGCAGAATTTGTGGGACCCGTTTTGTTAGGAGTTCAATTCCCGGTCCCACCCCGCGCCAGCGAGCTAACACTAACTAAGTAAGGCTACCATCATGTTCCGCAGTTGGCCATAGGCACGAAATTACGTGTGTGGGATGACAAAACTAAACATGAATGAATACTGGTTAACATCGCCAATTTTTTAATTGGAAGGATGAATTTGCATTCGAAAGCAGTTAAGTTCTAGGTTGAAGTCGTATCGGGGCACATTTTAGCAAGAGATCCCTTTCTTGCAGCGATATAATCTTCGAATGGCAATGTTTCTGTTCAGAAAGCCCTCAGCCAGCCATAATTATGTTAGCCACTCTTCGTTTTGACGATGCTGTTGCCTTTTCTTTAGCCCAATCGGTTCCAGAAGCGTCTTGAGAACCAGCGATTTCACAGCTCTCCTAGGTGGGCTGTGAAAATGTGGCTTATATCTTTTACTGGCATAATATGTAAGCGGACAACCACTACTACAACTGCTGAACGCCAACCTCGTGGAACCTGCTCAGCCACACTCACTGGACCTCTTAAGCTTCAATCGTCGGATAAGGCTTGTTTGAAAGTCATCTAAAAGCATCACACACAAGGCGCAACAGATTTTAATGGAATGAATTCGTCGTCGTCCACCCGAGGGAAATGGTGTCTCGGCCTACCCGTCAGTCCTCAGTCTTGGAAACTCGTCGAATTGTGGAATATATTTTGTTCTCACATAGCACAAGTTGTCAACCATAATATCTGGTTATAATAGACAGGGAGAGCTGCATGCGTACCCACCTTTCAGGTTTGCGCGATGTTGGCGCTGCCGCTATGTGGCCAACATATTTTATATTTTTGTCCATTGTTCTGTTTCATTTCCAGCTCTATGGCTGTCTGCTATCACGTCGACCTGTTCGACGTTAATTCTCCTAAGCCACATCCATTTATTTCAGATTAATGCAATGTTGAGTCGATGACGACAACAGCAACCGATGGAAAATTCTTGATTTTAATCGCAGTGATATCGCTGTTTGTCTCCAACACATCAGTGAATATCGATCGCGTAAGTAGTTGTATGAATCTGAAACCTTTGTGGACCCATTCCGATGATGCGCTTAATACTGCCTCCGCTTTCAGAAACATTCGACTTGCCTTCACTACTTATTCACACCGATCAATTATATTTATTGCGTAAACATCCCACAAACTTATCCTGTCAGCTCAGCCCAGGTTGGAGTGAGGGCAGTTTCAGCGGTTTAGTCCAGTTCGTCGCGCCAAAGGCATAAACTATTTTCGTCAGGCGCGAGGAGGTCATCTCTGATCCACAGGAATGTAGGTGTCCGTAGGAGCGCTCACTAGAAAAGGGGTGAGGGAATTTGACCATCATTAAAAAGGGTTTCAAAAAAAATTTCGCGCGATATCTGGAGAGCGTTGTCTCCGGCAAAGGAGTCGCAGCGAAAGAGACATGCATATAAATTTGAAATATGTAGTTTAAATTCAACCGTACTATGGTTGAGGGCCACTTTTCAAGGTACGAGTCGGGATCGAACTAGTGTGTTATTTTGTTCCAGAATTAGACAAGAGGAACGTTAGTGGGGTGAAGAAGCTTTAGAGCCATAAGGAACTCTGAAGTTTGTCTGATGAGGTCAACCGTGGCATGATGGAAAAGCACAGCGCCGCGAGTTGAGGGAAAACACGAGAGAATGCGTGGTACGCGAGAAGGCCAAGTATGCCGCGGTTTATAGAGCGGCAGCGGAGCAGCGCACAAATCGAGCTTGCCGCGCACCTTTGAGCCGAGGTGGTTGTGACTCCTGGGCTTGGACCCTCTTTCTCACTCAACACGAGACCGGCTCTTGGCACCCCACATGGCTTTAACCCAGTGCGTACTGTGGCATTTTTCGCCGGCCGGTGTGTAGGACTGAAAGCCATTCATACTCGGCGCTGTGTGCTGTGCGACAAATATAAATTTTTTATTCGAGAATTGAGCGTTCCTAATCGGTTGGTGCTCGTACCGCAGCAAATTGCAAGTCATTTCCTATGAGTCGACAAACTGCAAAAGATGCAAATGGTAAAGAGAACTGACCGCAGGGAAATCTACAAAAAATTATGAAAAAGAAAAGCTCATATTGAAATATTGTTTTTTTTGGGTTCGTAGCAAAAATATACGAAATGACTTAATATCAGGCAATAATCGTTTGAGTGGCATAACATGGGAACGAAAGGAGATATGAATGGGAAACCTATCGATGGATGTAAATATTTCTTTATATCAGTAGGCAATACCTGAGTTTTTGCTAAGGACAAAAAAATGAAAAAATTCAACAAGAGAATCTTTCTTCTTTTTGCATCATTTTTTGTATATTAAGCGCTCAATTCTTTTCACCACATGCAGCATTTGCAGGATAAACCTTTTTTTATCGGTCCTGACAAAAGTGAAAGTGTGCAGAAAAGTGTTAAGGCCGTTGTGCCGCCCTATTCAGTGTTCCTCGATCATTTCCTAGTTCGACTGTCAGTGTTTAGGCTAAGTTCGATAATGTAAAGTGGATGAAAGATGGTGAATCAATCAAGTGACGTTATGAAAAAAGGAAATAAGGAGGACTTCATTGACGTTATGAAAAAAGGAAATAAGGAGGACTTCATCATCGATGGATCAACGTATGTCTGCTGACAGTTGATTTTCCCGGTCCTTCCCAATACTTATTAATTTATGCTATACTTTCTTTTACTCCTACCAGTGCGTAGCTGGAGTATCCGGTGTAACGGCTGTCCAATCGACAAGTGGTTAAAACCACATTGGTCTCTGATCCGATTAAGCTTCGACGAGCGCGCATAACAAAATTCGACCAGACTACGAACCATGTAAGTTTACGATATCCCACCAACGACATGTGGCCTCCTAACAAATGGTAAAATGAAAAAAAAACTGTGCGGGCTTGCTGCATTTGGATATTACCTCCGAAAGAGGGGGAGGTTTTTGTTTACCGAGTCCCAGAAGCAATGTACAAATAAATTCCGACTCACGTGAATGACCAGGATTTTCATTGGTTTCTCGGGTTTGAGTGATGAGTTCAAAATCACATGCAGATTAGATGCATACTTTTCTCTTACAAGGATTTCTTGCAAATTGCGGAGAATCAAAATTTCCTAACCAGGTGTTTGGAGCAAGGGAAGCAGTTTAGGTGACCTATGAGCTGCGTTCTGCAGAAGCGTCTCGGGTCACTACTTCCTTCTACTCTGCCGCATTTCTGACCGCTTCCCTTGCTCCAAACACTGCGCCGTCATAAGAGTACTACGCTCTACCATCAGAAATATCATAATTCTATTGGAATGTCAACATCGTCACAGAATTACGCGTGATCCTCTGAATCACATTCAGCTTACGGAATTTCAATCTGTCATCGTTTGTTGACTCACATTGGGATTGATGTAATGAAGTGATTGTCGTCGAAAACGCAAGAGCTGACAACGTTCGACACTGTCGGAGCTTACCTTTTTGGGGCCACACTCTCTGACCTGCGCTAGGGCCTTGCTCTAGTGAGTAGCTCAGGATCGATTCATTGCAACGTTCAATATAATACGAGTTTATTTGACTTAACAGCACACGAGGTTGACAATATGATTCCGGCGGCTAACGTTTCGGCGGTTTCGCCTTCTTCGGAGCCTAAAAAGGTGGAAACCAATTCATGATTTATTCGACCAAATGTCTCGCTACCCTACGAGAGCTTCGAGACCAGCTAAACATCACATAATTAGTAGGCAGATAAAGTACCGTACCTTCCTAGATCAGCGGAATCAGCTCACAGGAACGACTGTATAGCGGATATTAGACTAATCCGAGTTCAGGGTTTCCGGCTGGAAGGCTAACCTTATATAGGGGGTTAGTTCCCGCGTTATTGACACACATTCTCCCCTGCGGTTCATTTTTGGATTTCTTGAACCCGCATCAACAGTACATAAAATATGCGGAGGTTCTCGAGAGTCGATCATGGAGAATACTGCGCACTGTTCAATATAATCATTCGGCGCGGTAGCCATTTATTGTTGGAGAGTAGATGAAGAATCTCTCGCGAATCCTTTCATGTACGACTCAGGCTGCCAAACGGACCCTCGCCTCAAAAAATTGACCAATTGTGGTGGTGCATTTGTGTAATCAGCGGGCTGAAACTTCAGCTCAATGTGAAGCGTGAATAGCTTCAAACAGGTTCCAACAACCTAAACAAACAGGTTGCTAACAAGCTGAAGTGCTTCTACAGTCAATTCGAGAAGTTTTAATTCCTCCAGGAACTAACAAATTCGGTCCTCCTGTTTTAATGCACCCACAGTTTAAAAATGACCAACATTTAACTTCGGGGCAGAGCAGTAGTAAGAATTTTTAGCTAACATTATTGAAAACTTCACTTTCGTTGGTTTATTCCCATCAAAGAAAATAACAAAAATTACGTGTAGTTTTCTGATGCGAATTTCGCCTTCCATACGTGTGAGAGACGACCTATCGCACTCGGATTTGATCCCCTCACAAGACTCTTTCCGAAAATTCGATAACAATTTGCCGGTTGCCTTGTCTCGATTAATAATGCTTTCAGTACGTGCACGTGAAGCAAGGTCAAGTAGCCCGTCTTCCATGCGCCGGCCTACCCGACGTGGTTCCTGGGCCTGCTGAGATATGCTTTATAAAAAGCGGTTCGGACTCTGATGAATGTCTAAGCGACAAAGGTACGTGGGATTTGCAGCGCCATTTTTCCAGAAGCGCAGCAGCGGCAAGGGTGGTGGTAGCGCCAAAGTTCCGTAGCCACCTTGGGTCTATATTACCTAACTCCCCCACCTCTAAGCTTCCGTGAGATCTATTACAAGTCCGCTTTCAGTCGATTCAAACTATCTGTCAACATCCACTGGAATGCAGATATCGGTGGTGCAGCCACACCATGCCGGTGAATACTACTGTGTAGTACGGAACGAATACACGAAACAGACTCGCAGGAGTCCGCGCTATGTGAAGTTGCGGGTACGTTCAGACTTCATTTTACTACACAAAGTAACAGGAACACCTCTTATTGCAGGTGGATCCAACAGAAAATGGTACGTCACCCGGTCAGCCTGACCCTCCACAACTGGTGTTCCCTAGTAAGGAGAATCGTCCTGACAGTCCTATCTCTGTGGACGTAGTTGCTGGGCAAGACATCATCCTTGAATGCGTCTTCGTAGATGCGAAGGTGGTTTGGATAAAGGTGAGGCTGCTGTGAGGTATTGAAGTGCTGATGACGTCATCGAAATACTGTAATTTCTCTTTGTAAGTATGGAGACCTGACACCGCAAATATCGTTAACTGATGACGAGGCAAGACTTCGGC